ATTAGAGGATAAGGATGGTGATCTAAACCCAAGGGATTTCAAGAATCAAGGAGTTTCTAATGTTTTGGAGATGATTTCTAGAGAGAAGGGGGAGAGAAATTAGGTTTTTGAGTGAGAAAAATAAGCCCTAAATGAGATACATTTCGGCCAAAAAGGGTATTTAAAAACAGGGGTCTGGACTGCCTGACTGCCGCTCATGCGGCCTTCCCCACCGCTCAAGCGGCCCACCTTGACCGCTCGGGCGGCCCATTTTCTCCGCTTGTGCACTCTAGACAATAGCCAAATTTCTGGGTGTCAAACTTGGCCGCTCGTGCGGCCACTCCCAGCGCTCATGCGGTACAATACAGCACGTGCGGCCCTGGCCCTGCAGCTCAAAGTTTCAACTTCTTCCCCAGCACCCCTAACTCACCCGTGCACCCTTTGGGACAAACAAAATTTCAACACCGGAAGAAAAGTATTTGGAAACCCTTTCTGGACACTTCAATTCAACAAGAATAAAAAGAGAACGAAGTAAAGGAAAGAAAGAATAAAGGGAAAAGAAGGCTGGTCGTCACACAAATCAACCCTAATCCCTTTCTCTACCTATTAGCCTTCAATTTAACCCTTAAAATCCTAAATTACTCATTGTTTAGGCCGTCAAATAACCTCTGTTTTCAAAATCCAGCGTTGTCCCTACTCGTCCTACATCAGTAACTTTTCTCATTTAAATGTACTTTAAGAAGGTTATGACTTATAATGGCTATCCTGTTTTATACTCTAAAATAGGTTCATATGGTCCAAACAGGTTGTAGCTATAGAACTTATAATCTTTTTTGTGTTTGTTCTAAGGAATAAGAGTGTGGGACTGGATTATATATCCTGGTCAATACTGAATTTTCACGTTTAGATATAAAAGTGGACTTTTGGATTAACAGTCCTCCCAAACTGTATATCCTCCGTTTGAGGGACTATTGAGTCCCTCGAGGACGGTGGGATATGAAAATGGGGGATTGACAGTGTGTCTAAATTTAGCGGTTAAAATATCAAAATTATCCTCAAACTATAGTGATTACACCATGTAATCCATGTCTATTGATTTCAAATAAACATGGGATATGATATGATTCTATTACTCGCTTCTTAATCCAGGAGCATTCCAGAGGTAGGATAGAATATATAATCCTAAAGGATTGGTAATCAAAGAACATTTAATCATGGACTAATAGTACCATGTAATCTAGTCCAACTTGTCCAAATAATCAAAATTCAGAACTGAGTTACATAAGTTACTTGGTTACCTTAATTTCTGCTTTCATCAAGGATTAGAAAGAACTGAAGTTGGTGGTGCTGTGGAAGCATGGCTGTTGATTGTCGAAGAAGATGCCGTTGCATATTTAAAGTTGCAGTTGATGTTTGTATCCACCTCCATCAATCCCTCCAAAACCTTAACCACAATAGACATGGAAGGCCTTCTTGACTGATCATTCTGCAAACACCAAGCTCCAATCTTTATCATCTTGACCACCTCCTCAGCATGATATTGTTTGACTCCATCCATGTTTTCCACCATATAGTTGATACTCAGCCTTCTCCCGCAACAGTTGAAGCAGATGTTTTCTAGATTCTGACCGTGTGCTGTCAAAGTTTCTCTGGCCACCAACTATCTCAAGAAGAACAATTCCAAAGCTATAAATATCAGCTTTGATGGTGACTCTTGCTTGTCGCCACTCTGGAGCAATATATCCAGGAGTTCCTCTCATTGTGGCCAGAACATGGCTTTCGTCTCTGTTTATCAACTTGGATAACCCAAAATCAGAGATTTTTGGCATTAAAATTTTCATCCAAGAGAATGTTTTGTGGCTTTATATCGAGGTGAATTGTTAAAATTGATGTATTATTGATTGATGTATGTTATTGATTGATGTATGTTATTGATTGATGTATGTTATTTATTACAAATGGTGAGGGGCTCCTTATATAGGAGATGTAGTGGAGTAGGTGGAGTAGGTGGTAGTGGCAGGTGTGTAGTAGGTGGTAGTAGGTGGTGGTAGGTGTAGTAGGTGGAGTAGGTGATGGTAGGTTTTAACAGCCCCCCGCAAACTCAAGGGGGATAGGAACTAACCAACTTGAGTTTGGAGAGAGTAACAAAACAAGAAAATAATCTGAAAAATAAAAAATGGATAGGAGACACTGTATGGTCGTGTCAGACCGTTGTAGAAGACTGTATGGTTATGGCAGACCGATGTAGAAGACACTGGCTCGTGTCAGACCGATGTAGAAGACAGTTTATGGGGTCATGTCGGACCGTTGTAGAAGACAGTTTACGGAGTCTTGCTGGACCCTTGTAGAAACTAACCGGAATCAATGTCGGGACAGTTTACAGAGTCTTGTCAGACCCATAAAGGAGCTAACCGGAATCAATGTCGAGACAGTTTACAGAGTCTTGTCGGACCCATAAAAAAATCGCATCCTCAAAAGGTGCGCTCAATTTTTCAAAAGGCGTGCCATCAAAAGGCGTGCCATCAAAAGGCGTGCCATCAAAAGGCGTGCCATCAAAAGGCGTGCCATCAAAAGGCGTGCCATCAAAAGGCGTGCCATCAAAAGGCGTGCCATCAAAAGGCGTGCCATCAAAAGGCGTGCCCAATCCATAAAAAGACGTGCCATCAAAAGACGTGCCATCAAAAGGCGCGCCCACAAAAGACGTGCCATCAAAAGACGTGCCATCAAAAGACGTGCCATCAAAAGACGTGCCATCAAAAGACGTGCCATCAAAAGACGTGCCATCAAAAGACGTGCCATCAAAAGACGTGCCATCAAAAGACGTGCCATCAAAAGACGTGCCATCAAAAGACGTGCCATCAAAAGACGTGCCATCAAAAGACGTGCCATCAAAAGACGTGCCATCAAAAGACGTGCCATCAAAAGACGTGCCATCAAAAGACGTGCCATCAAAAGACGTGCCATCAAAAGACGTGCCATCAAAAGACGTGCCATCAAAAGACGTGCCATCAAAAGACGTGCCATCAAAAGACGTGCCATCAAAAGACGTGCCATCAAAAGACGTGCCATCAAAAGACGTGCCATCAAAAGACGTGCCATCAAAAGACGTGCCATCAAAAGACGTGCCATCAAAAGACGTGCCATCAAAAGACGTGCCATCAAAAGACGTGCCATCAAAAGACGTGCCATCAAAAGACGTGCCATCAAAAGACGTGCCATCAAAAGACGTGCCATCAAAAGACGTGCCATCAAAAGACGTGCCATCAAAAGACGTGCCATCAAAAGACGTGCCATCAAAAGACGTGCCATCAAAAGACGTGCCATCAAAAGACTTTTTTCGGTTTAAGAATAATAATAATAATAATATATATGTATAGATAGAAAAGAAAAGAAAAGAGAAAAAAGAAAAGAAATTGAATTCAATTTATATATATGTATATGTTTACATATTAAAATATAGATAGAATATATTATGATGAGGTTTTGGGGGGGGGAGGAAATGATAAATTATTTGAAGAGATAGTGGGTGGTTCATGTGAGTAGTCTCGTGGGTGATAAGAAAGAGAGGGAGTGGGTGATATAAAAAAAAAGAAAAGAAAAGAAAGTGGAAGAGAGTGTGAACATATTGATGATGAAAAATGGGAACCAACCCATGTGGGTGGAGGTGGTGCGTATGGTATTTAAACACTTAATTAAAAGGAAGAGAGAGAGACAATGCCCGAGAGAGAGAGAGAGATTGAGTGGGTGCCCCCCATGTGCGTTGCAGAGAGAGACCCAGTTACAGGAAAGAGAGATGCTTTGCTTTCTGTGCTGAAATAGAAACTGTGCAGGTTACTGTCTTACACTTCTTTAGGCTTGACTCACTGCTCTCTGTTATTACTTCTCACAAATGCGGAGGTGGTGGCTCGGTGCAGAGGTGATGGTCTAGGTTCAACAGAGAACCTCCATGAAAAGGAGTAGAGCTGGTTTGTAGCCATGGCCGCTCCCACAGAGCGAGAGAGAGTATGGAGTTATTGAAGCCACCATCCAGTGATCATGAAAATCCAGAGAGATTAGTCAGATTATTTTCTCCTCCACATTCCTCCAATGAGAGAGGGCGAATTTGGTGAGATAAAAAGGTTGGCGCCGGTGACGGCGATGCACCAGCGACGGCGAATCACGACGGTAATGGTTGGTGGTACAGGAGGGAAGGCAGCATCGCTGGAGGAGCGACGTGATGAGGACAGTCAGTGGCTGAAATCCAGCCAGCTGGGAGTTCACGATTGAAGAAGCAACAATTCGAGAAATCCAGCAAGCATTTGCAGACAAGAAGCTCACATCAAGACAGCTCGTTGACTTCTACCTGAACCGAATCCAGGAACTGAATCCGGTGCTTCGCAGCGTAGTGGAAGTGAACCCGGACGCTCGAGATCTAGCGGACGAGGCAGACCGAGAGAAGCAGAGCAATGGTGGATCACTGGGAGAGTGGGTGTTGTCAGAAGTCCATTTGTGGATAAGCTTCATGATTCAGCCACAGCTGCATCTTTTGAGGATCATCTCAGTACATTGAGAAAAAGAGGTGCGATTGTAGTGGACAATCTGCACATAGCAAATATTGATGAAATTCTAGATCCCCATCAAAGTGGGGAACTAATGGTGATGGCGACTGATTTCAAGATCTCCGTAAATGCTTACTTGAAAGAGCTGAACAAGGCTTGTGCCTTCATTGTGATGGAAGTCATGCAGAAACAGTTGAGAGATGAGAGGTCCGGCGGGCAGCCAAGGCGAGGCTGCCGCCCGCCGGTGAAGCGAAAATGCTAGGCTCAACCTTGCTCTGATACCATGTTAAAATTGATGTATTATTGATTGATGTATGTTATTGATTGATGTATGTTATTTATTACAAATGGTGAAGGGCTCCTTCTATAGGAGATGTAGTGGAGTAGGTGGAGTAGGTGGTAGTGGTAGGTGTGTAATAGGTGGTAGTAGGTTGTGGTAGGTGTAGTAGGTGGAGTAGGTGATGGTAGGTTTTAACATGAATTATTCTCTGCCAGCATTCTTCATGCAGGTAAGCCAGCCCTTTGGCTATGTGAAGTATAATCTTCTTCAGAGCTTGCCAATTGAGGCAAGGTCTCTGGTTATTCCAAAAAATCCAGCTATCCAAAGAGCCATTAGTCATATACTCATACACTAGAAGCCTGCAAGCTTTTTCTGCACAAAACCCAATCAACCTCACAAGATTAGCATGGTGTATGTGTCCAAGTGTCTCAACTTCAGCAAAGAATTCCTCCATCCCTTGGCCTAATTTATCCAAACGCTTCGCTGCAATCTAAGTGCCATCTTCCAACATCCCTTTGAACACAGTTCCCAATGCTCCACCTCTCAATCTCACCTTAAAATCTTCTGTTGCAACACATAGCTGTTCATATGAAAACCTCACTAGACTTCCTGGAACTTGCTTCATACAGTCCTCCCCGTCCTCTGAGCAGCTTGGGCGCAACATCACAAAGCGTGTAACAATTGTAACAACAAAAATTAAAAGGGCACCAGCACACGACAATGCTATTATTGCTTTTAAATTTCTTCGATTTCTTGAAAGTGAAGCAGGTGGAGAAGTGTCAGGCACAGTGCCTTTACTTGTCTGTTTGCTGCCTTACAAGGAATTTGGACCTTGACAAATGTTGCAGATGCAAAACTGCGGTTTAGGATTTGCCCTTCTCTAATTGTCAATACCGTGGATGGGATATAACAATACCCATCTGCAACATTATTGTTGTACCTGAAAAAGACTGCACCACAGGAACAATTTAGCAAACAGATCTCTTTGCATCTCTCTATGTCACTGATATTTGGAAATGCAGCATCTTCGTCGATGAGGTTGAAGTAGCTTACATTTCTAACTTCAACAAGATAATGCTTCTTCTCAAAGGGAGGTGGGCAAGACAAAGAAGTAATCCTAGAGCAACCCATATAGGGTATTTGATACTGAGTCTGTTGCTGATGTTTTCCATTTTGGCTGTGTCTGGTCAAAATATCGAACCCAATTAATGCCTATGGGACAACTACACTGGCCTTGTCTGCATAAGCCATATTCACCACAGTGGCGAGGATGTTGACATTCACCTAAATCATGGGTAATCATATCAACAATCTCCCTCCACCTATTGGCATTACTGTGATGGAATATCTTCAAATGCCCATCACTACCTAATTTTATATATGCAGTGCTAACAGTGGAGGAAAATTGATGGCATTTATTTTAAACATTGATTGAGATGTACCAAAATTCACAAGGAAACCTCCTTGTTGAAGCTCTGCATATTATGGTCCTCTGCTAGTGGTTGAGGTTTGATCTGGCACCAACTGATAATACATTTGTGGTTGACCCTTACCTCCTATGTATGTAGCAAAACCTGTAGCCAATTTCAATGTGGCAAAGTACAAACCACGAGCCCATAAGTTGAGGAACTTGAAAAGAGTTTTTGATCCTCATATAACCGCTGCCCAACAAGCAATGTATTCGTGGGGTAATCAAAAGACTGCCAAACAATTGCTCCTTCGTTGTTGAATAGAACCAAATTTCCCCGTTCTGTCATGTTCATTCCCACCAGACTTGCCTAATGTATTGGTTGACCACACGTGGTCTCCATTGAAATTCGCAGTACTGATTCTCCATCTACTGTAAGTTGTAGCATCGCGCCTTCTTTCACAGGATGGCCGACATTTGTTGACCAAACTACACTGTGATTGCCTCCACCAACAATGGCAACTGAGAACAAGTAATAGGTGCAACTGCCGAACCAGTAGAATCCACAAACAAACTCAATGCTTCCCCTTCTTGAGAAGATTGCTCTCACGATTGTTGAGCTGTCTTCACTGACGAGACTCCTACCATTAGAATCATTGTTGTACCAAATTGAGGGAAAACTTGAATTGAGGTAGAACATGGGACCAAATGATGGAGGTAAGGAAGAAGATCCAGCCACCTCAACAGAAGTTTGGGCAATATTTTGAGCTAAACACACACTGAAAACAAATGAGCAGAACAAAAATATGATTATTCCAGCCATGATCTCTGATGAATTACTTTTATCGCTCTTTTGTTGCTAGCTTTATAAAGAGTTACCAGAGTAAACTTGGGGGTGGGAGAACAGAAGGCATCACAAGTCAAGTCTTATAAAGGAGGTGGAGCAATTTTATACAGGTTCTGTGGGCAGAGATTGACCGATGAGCCCATGTGAATGTCAATGTGTATCATAACTTCCAGGTAAATGAGCATGCCTGCACACAGAGAGGTATATATGTATACATGTGTGTAATGATGGATAGAATAAGTCTAGGTACACCGAATTAAACCACAAAAAAATAAAAAATAATACACAATGGGGCTTACCTCTGGAGAAAATAATGAGGCTAAGGACACCTCTGATAGGCCCGACCATGCTAAAGTGTACATTCTTGCTACTTTTATATGGTTTAATTCCATGTACGTAGTGATATATGTATTTTTGGAACAAATTCTTAGTTTCTCACCCACCATTTGTCCATTATGCAAAAAAAAATACTAAAATAAAAATTAAATTAAATGGAAATTAAATAACACTCAGTTTAATGAATATGTAAGTCTTTAGAATTGAAACAATTCAAAAAATTCTGTTTTTAAATAAGAGAAGTTAAAATATGATTTACTTCCCAATTTTTCAACTAATACAGGTTTTCTTATTTTGTTAATATACAAAATCTAAACAACCAGTTTAAAAGATAAATTTAAAGGTAAGACAAGTAGTTTAGGATAGGGGATGGTGAGACCTTTTCTTCCCCACAAGACAAGTTTTAGATTCGCCACTAAATGTAAATTGGTGAAGCATCTGAGTGTATTTAAGATAGAATTTTCAAAACCAATTTAGTCCTTGATTTTTTATTTTCTATTGCTGTTAAGAATTTTGACTGCAATCCCAATATTTAATGAAAATTTGAATCTCAAAACTTCTATCAGATTTTAATGCTTAACCATCCTTGAAATTTTTAGACTTCGGCTCTAAAGAATGAGAATCAACTATATGGCCAATGATAATTCCAAGTCTATTACTCTTACTTTTGGCCAAGCACTAACGGTCAAGAGAAGTTATAAATAGTTCGTGTCATGTGGACCATATAACAAGAGAAGAAATACAATACAATCTGATAAATCTTACAAACTTTTCTTACTGCCATGGCAATGTAGCATGCAATCATGAAACATTGTTAATTGAATGGCTCAGAAGGCCACTAGCTAGTACCTTTTTAAGTAAATTTTCCGAATCACACCACACCTTTGACACAATGGAAAGTTGTCGATGCAACTAAAATAATTATTCTGTTATTGTAAAACACATGAAAAATACTAACAAAAAGTTTCCAACAAGTCTGTATAAAAACAAATTCATCTCTTTCCATATATGAGATGAGTTAAAATCATGTTACATGAATAAATGAGAAAAATCCCATTGTTCAAAACATAAAACAAAGAATTGATGCCATAAACAGCCAAAGCAGTGTAAAATCTCCCTACCAGTAATCAGCACAAGAACATTTCCCATCTTTGAAATGGTGAAACCTACTAGCATCTCGTACAATAATTTCTCGGTTTTCTATCTCCGACATGTACTTGATAGCAACATGGCAATCACTGCAGACACGCAAATTCTTCATCACCCGGATTGGAACACCCTCTGGGGTGTTCATCAGAGCAAAAGCAATTGCCAACTTTTCGCTATGGTGTGCCAAGTTATGTTCCTTCTCCTCAGCATCCATGTCATGTAAAACAGAGCCGGTTTCAGGCACGTAACCCCGCAGTTTCATTTCCCAAGTCAGTTCTTTCAAGTACATATCAATCTCCATTGATTGTGGATGGGATTTGTCACCCATACAAAACTGGTGAACCTGGTTCTTCACCTCAAACCAGCTGATACCTGGCTCCTTCTTCACCCTCCTATCTCTCATCACTTTCCTCACTTCTGAAACATCCTGCCATCTTTTAGCAGAGGCTTGAATATTCGACAGCAGCACATAAGGAGCTGAATCCTGAGGATCAAGCCTAAGAACTTCTTCAGCAATCCTTTTAGCAATATCTGCGTTTTTATGAATTTTACAGGCAGATAATAAAGTCTTCCATATAATAGCATCTTTCTTTACAGGCATAGTTCTTATAAAACCTTCTGCCTCCTCCAAACAGCCAGACCGGCCAAGCAGATCAACCACACATGTATAATGTTCTAGCCGAGGCTCCAATCCATACTTTTCTATCATCAAATTAAAGAATTGAAGTCCTTTATCTTTCAATCCACAATGACTACAAGCATAAAGCAAGCTTAAAAAAGTAACGTCATTTGCATTCAACCCCACTTGATCCATCCGATTAAACAGCTCGATGGCTTCCTCTCCCTTCCCATGGAACCCATATGCAGCAATCATTGAACTCCACAAGACCACATCGGCTTCTTCCCTTTCCAAGAAAGCTTTTACAGATTCATCCAAACAACCACATCTAGAGTACATACTAATCAGTGAACTAATAACACCAACAACAGTACTTGCACCAGTTTTTATTGCCTCCGCATGAATCTGTTGGCCTTGTCCAAGTGTTGCTAACTCCGAACATGAACTGATTACACTCACAAACGTAATCTTGTCAGGACTAAAACCTGCCATTTTCATCATATTATACTGATCCAAAGCACCCTCAGAGAACCCGTTTTGAGCTCTACCCGCAATAAGCGTGTTGCAAGCAACCACATTGTGAATTGGCATTGCTTTGATCACTCTCTCTCCTTCTTCCAAACTTCCAGACTTCATGTACATGTGAGCCAAAGAACTCCCAACAACTAAATTGAACTCAAACCCAGATTTCACCACATACCCATGAACCTGCCTGCCCGCATTCAAATCTTTCAAACCCGCACAACCTCGAAGAACACTACCCAGAGTGAACTCATCCAACATAAAGCCCAAACCATGCATTTGGGAAAACAAACTCAACCCCTCCTCGTTAAACTCAAACTGGGTCATACCCGCAACCATCGCATTCCACGTCGCAACATTTCGTTCCGGCATTTCATCAAACACCTGACGTGCACTCTCTAAATCACCATTCTGAATGAACCCACCAATCAAAATGTTGCAAGACATGATGTTCTTCCTGGGCATTACGTCGAACAGTGTAACGGCGGTTGAAAGTTCTCCGATTTTGGCATAGGCGTTGAGTAGGTGGTTGGAGACGAACTTTTCTGAGGAAGACCCAGATGTGATGATCAGAGAATGGAGGTGTTTGAGGAATGAGAGAGATTGGGTATGAATGCATTGTTGGAGGAGGTGAGAGAAGAGAGATGGGTCTGACCAAATCTCTGATGTGAATGATTCGAATGCTTCTTTGAGGCGGCCTTTGGAGCAGAGGTTGGTGAATTCGTTTCGAGTTTTGGAGGTGTTTGTGGAGAGAAAGCGAAGAGGGGTTGGAGTGAGACGCCTAACACATGACTTTGACAGACCCATACATTTGGGTTGGCTTGGCTTAATGACCTGTGTGATAAAACTGAAGTTCTGTTCTACTAGTATTTGGAGTCATTTATTCATTATATTTATTTTGTGAAAAAAATATTTATTTAAGGCATGGTTTGGAAAGTGGATTAGTTTTTTGACTTTTTGATTTTTTTTGGCTGCTTTAACTTGGGATTAAAAAGTTTGATTTTGGAAGGACATTTGACTTTTTTGACTTTTTTTGTAAGAGAAAGAATGTAATGATTATAGGTTAGATGTGATGTTTTGTCTTATTGGGCTAAAAAACTTATTTTGTTTTTTTGTGGCTATTTTAGCCAAAAAAAGCCCCCAAACCCTCTTCCCAAACCATGCATAATTTTGATTAAGCCGATGGCAAAAAATACAGACTATTTTTTAGGTCAATAAATAATTTTTCATTAATTTTTTTTAAAAAATCATAAATTAAAAGATTTCACTCTTGTAGATGAAGTCTTCAAAATCATTGAAAAATTAACAAGTTATGAAATATAGACAATTTTTTGAGATATGTGAAATAGTGAAAATGGACAAACAATTTGGTACGAAGGGAGTATAAGGTTTTTTGCCTGTCATCAAGGCATTGAACCTTGGATTCAACGGTGACGGCAATATTGCATCATACACAATAATATAATCATTATTTTGTTACTGAATGCGCCCAAAACTCAATTAATAAAGCTATGTATAACAAAACATTGTTAAAAATATTTAATATTGTGATATATTTCATATCATTTAATATATAGGATTCACCTAATTTTGTGTTTTTTTCATGATTATCCAAATTGTATGGAACAACGGTATAATGGAAGATTTAACTCTCGTAATTAATGCTATTTGCCACCTCACTCCCCCAAAAAAGTTGACTATTCTCTATTTTGTAGGCTTCATTTATCTTCAAATCTGCACATATAAAAACATGAAAACTTACTCGGAATAACTAATTTTACTTTGACAGTAACCTTTATTCTATTATAGAAGTTTGTTTATCAATTATTTATGAGGTCTTTTTTAAAATTTCATTATGTTGTTAAGCGAAATAATTACTATTCTGATAAGTATATTAATAATTAGATGGAAAGAATAGCTCTTCACTTATCCTGAGACACGTGACTTACACGAACACACATACAAATGTACACTTGAAACACACGCTCGAATTATACATAACTTACTTCGTTTGCTCTTAGTGTGTTTCTAGCCTTTAACTTCATTATGGAGACTTAATCATGACCTAGGAATGCCTATGATGGAATGACGATGCAAAGATGTACTTGAATCACTTAGTCAAAATTTTGCTGAAATAGGGGTCTCGCTCGAGTGTGGTTTTCTTCACTCGAGCGGACATGTCAAATGTGAGTGGTCGCTCGAGCGTGGACTCCTTAACTCTAGCGGTCTGTAAAATGTGAAAAGTTTTGGTTACATGAAATCTCCGCTCGACGCTCGCTCGAGCGTGAAACATAGGTCTTTGCTCGAGCGCAAGTTCTGTCACTCGAGCGTGCTTCTACGCATACAAAATTCTAAGAGCTTGAAATTTCCGCTCGAGCCAGCCTTTCGTCGCACGAGCAGAATCATGAAAACAAAGATGGTCGCTCGAGCGTAGGATCCCTCGCTCAAGCGTGGAAGCGAAATTCTGGGTTTCCCAGATTTGCTCCTAAGCTTCAAAACACGAATTCAACTCTTCAAAACACATCTCTTGGGCCCCAAAACTTAAGATAACACAATAAACTTGTAAAACATGATGAATTGAGGATTATTTCACAAAACTATGGCCCAAGAGTTTGCCAATTGTATAAAATTCCAACACAAACTTTATGAATATTTCATTAATACAACATGCATGAACTCCTTTGAATTCAAACACTCCAAAACATGATCAAACTTGGTAATTTAATGGAAAACATGATGAATGACCAAAATGTAAGTGAGATTAACACATGCATGAAAGAAGTCTTTGATATCATGCTCAATTTGTAAGAAAATACACATGAATGCATGGATTGATCTACCTCTCTACTCCTTAAGCTTGATTCTTACATCTTATAGTTCAATTTACTTGAATTCATGTATGAATTAACTCAACTTCAAGGCTAAAGGCTTGGTTTCATACCTTAGATGTTCAATTGGGCTTTAGGTGCTAGAAACTTGAACTAAATGAACAAATCTTCAAGTTTTCTTCTTTTCTCCTAGCAATTCCCTCCTTGTGAATTCAATTCTTGAACCTAGGACCCAAATCCCTCAATTCTCTCTCATTCTCACGTTGAGCATCAAGTTAAGGAAGAATAAAATGAAAAGGTAAACTTAGTGGGGTCAAAATGGCCCTAGAGGTAGTAATTAATCAAAATTAATCAAATGGCATTAATTTAATCTAATTTAATCGTTCCGAACCAAATTTTAATTAAACCTACCATAAAATTCTATAAATCCTAATTAGCATATAAATCAAGTCAATTTCTGAATCAGATGCCGATAGAGCCTTCAATTCACAAACCGAAAGAAAACACAAACAGATTTTCCGACATTGAACATATATAGACATAATTCATGCAACACACATATGCAATTCAATCCGGAATTTCGCCATAATTACCAATTAAGCATAATTAACCACGGATTAACGTTAATCAATGACCAGGGTTGTTACAATAATTTGCATGGTAACTTAGCAAATTGGGACATTTTGTATTTTGATTTTTGTTGATTGTCAGTACTTGAATGATATACTTACAACTAAGTGATTTGTAACTATTTAAATTTTATTGATAAGAGTGGGTGCCAGATCCACATATTAAAAATATAATAATAATTATATTTGATTTGGAGTATTATGTGTCCCGTTATTAGGTGTGATGTCTAGATTTAAATCTTATTTAATGTGTAATGTAATTTTGCCTTCTCTTATTCTCTTCCTATGTAAAAAATTAAAAATAATAAATAAATAAAAAATCGAGGTAGAAATCTATGTACATATAGCATTACTCAGCTTTGAGAGCATTTATCACAAATAGGGCTACAAATGAACCGAACTATTCATAAATAAACTTGGCTCGACTCGTTAAGTGCTCGACTCGACTTGGCTCGACTCATTTAGTAAACGAACCGAGTTCAAACTCGAATATTAGACTCGTTTAGTAAACGAGCCAAACTCAAGATCGCATAAACTCAGCTCGTTTATCTTTATTTAAACTATATAATAAATATATTATTTATATATTAAATAATATAAATAATATTTTTTATTTAAATAATATTAAAAAAATTATCAAACTGAGCTTGAATTTCATTAATATTAACGAGCCGAGCCGAACTCAAGCCCAATTCCTTGTCGAGCCGAGCTCGAGCGTAGTAAAGGAGCTCGATAAGTAAACAAGCCAAGCTCGAACTCAGTAAAACTTAGTTCGGCTCGGTTTGTTTGCAACCCTAATCACAGTCAGCTAATAGCTAACTCAATGGTGCAAAAGTTAACCATATTAATCAGCTCGTAGAACATAGTTAACAACAACAGTAGTTAGTTTGGGAAGCCAGTTAGAGGTAGTCATAATTGGAAGAAGAAAGGCAAGCTCAAGAATTAAAGCACGAAACATCAGATTAAACCATTTGGGTATAAATATATAACATTGAAAATGGAGAAAGTATGATCAAATATAGAATTACTGGCTATTCCTAATTACACATGATGAGAATTACAAAATTATACATTGAAACATACGAAGATGTATGAGAATTGTAAATTGCATTTGCATTATGACCTGTGCTACTTATACAGTGACTGTAGATGGTACAGGTGAAGGGGCCCGATTTTCAGCAGGGATTTCAACAAATTCAGAGAGAATCGCCCTGAATTCTTCACCGGTTATTGTTTCCTTCTCAAGAAGGATTTCCACAATTTTGTCAATAGCCTCGCGGTTGTTCCTTATGTGGGTCAAGGCGATCTCATATGCTCTATCTGAAAGCCTCTTCACAGCTGTGTCAATGTCTTCGGCAAGCTTTTCTGACATCGAATTTCTTGCCATCATTCTCATAATCACATCAGCACTCTGAGCTGAAGATTCCATTAGTGACCATGGACCAATTTCAGACATTCCAAATGTGGTCACCATCTGCAGATATAGATCAATTAAACCCCTCAAATTTTCTAGAATTTTTTCAAATGTATTAATCAAGGAAAACAATTGCTTTCTCACTATTAGTTGAAAAAACAGATCACTGATTAGACTGGAATAAGCTCTTACTGGAAGGTGTAAGTTTTTTTTTTTTTGTTTTTTTTTTATTTTATTTCTGTTGATAACAATTAAATATATTTTGCCAACTCAAACTTTATTAGAAAAAAAAAAATTAAACCATTTTCTCCATACACTCTGTAAAATATACGAAGTTTAGAGATTTTATTTCAGTGTATTGATGAGGATTGCTTTCAAATATGGCTGGGGTGAAATTGACATCCATTTTGAAACTAAAAACCTCAGTTAAATGATTTTACCTGTTTGGCCAAACCAGTGATCTGTTGCAAATCACCGGCTGCACCTGTGGTCACCTCAGGCTCACCAAAGATCACTTCCTCAGCAGCTCTTCCACCAAGTCCACCAACAATTCTTGCAAATAGTTGTTGCTTTGAGATCAAGGTCGGGTCATCTGCAGGAATAAACCATGTAAGACCTCGGGCCTGACCACGTGGAATAAGGGTGACTTTTTGAACAGGATCGTGCCCTGGAGTAAGGGTCCTGCATGGAAAAGAAACCAATGAATTAGTGAGAGTACTAGAATAACAATTTTCATTGCGAACCGAAAAAAATTACAAGAGAGTGGCAGACAAGAAGTCCACAAAGGTAAACAAAAGAACTGTTATTTAGTGATGCCCATCCCCAGAGACTATCTCACTGGAGAAGACACAGAGGTCCAACAGCGGCGGAGTAGATAAACAGAAAATGAAGACAACATAATGAAATCAACTATGAATAATGTTCACAAGAAACACAAAGCACAAGGCACGAGTCAAACAATTTATAATGTACATAAGTAGGTCATAAAACATTGTTATTGCTAGCATCAACGCACATTAAAACATTTTAAGCATTATAATTCTCATAACCTCAGGCTACAAAGACCAAACCTAGCAGAGTAGTAAAAAAGTGTTGGCACGGCATTTGTAAGAAAGGGCCTGAAGGGATGGGATTGAGGGTTCAATAATTTATACACTTTTTTCTGTACAAAGTATAAGTGCCCTGTGATAATGCATCTTTATACCATTCAAAAAAAATTAAACCACAGGCACAAAAATCTTTTGCCACCATCGAAGTCAGAGAGAAGATCCCTTGCCAAAAGGGCTAGATGAAAGTCCAACAAACATGATGAGGATGAACCTTGCCAACTCACATTCATTTATATGGTTAGCTGAATACTGAAGAATAAAGCACAATGATATCATAAAAACATTGTAAACAACCATGCTTTGGCTCGACCAAGAACCATAAAATGAAGAACATCCAGAATTACTAACAAAAGCAAAGGATAATTTGATTCTTACCCACAAATTGCGTGGCCGACTTCATGGTAAGCAACCAAGCTTTTGCTCTTCCCATCTGTCATAACCGTTCCTTCCATTCCAGCCACAATCCTATCTATTGAATCATCAATCTCTTTAGATGAGATTGCAGATTTCCCACGTCGTCCAGCCAATATAGCTGCCTCATTCAAGAGGTTTGCAAGATCAGCCCCACTGAAACCAGGGGTTCTCATGGCTATCACTTCAAGAGACACATCTGCATCAAACTTCTTATTGCTACCATGAACCTTCAATATCTCTGTTCTACCCCGTATATCTGGAACATCAACTGTAACCTGCACAAAGCTTCAAATTAAGCATTCCCACAATATTAAAAAAGCAAATAGCAGTAAGTGATGTATTATTACCTGTCTGTCAAATCTTCCTGGCCTTAATAAGGCAGAGTCAAGAATATCTGCACGATTAGTTGCTGCAATTACAATGATACCAGTGTTTCCTTCAAAACCATCCATTTCTGTCAAAAGCTGGTTAAGGGTTTGTTCCCTTTCATCATTCCCTCCTCCAATTCCAGTTCCTCTTTGCCGGCCGACAGCATCAATTTCATCAACAAAAACAATGCAGGGAGCATTCTCCTTGGCCTTCTTGAAAAGATCACGGACTCGAGAGGCACCAACACCAACAAACATCTCCACAAACTCTGAACCTGAGATGGAGAAAAATGGGACACCTGCTTCACCAGCAATTGCCTTGGCGAGAAGGGTCTTCCCAGTTCCTGGAGGACCAACAAGAAGCACTCCTTTAGGGATACGAGCCCCAACTGCAGTGAACCTCTCAGGCTTCTTCAGAAACTCCACCACCTCCATGAAATCTTGCTTTGCTTCATCTCCACCAGCAACATCATCAAATGTCACTCCAGTATTAGGTTCCATCTGAAACTTGGCTTTTGACTGACCAAAGGCAAGAGGAAATCCAGGTCCACCAGGACCTCCCATTCCTCCAGATGACCGCCTTGAGAGAAGGAACAGACCCCCAATTAAGATTAGTGGGAAGGCCAAATTTCCAATCAAGTTGAACAATAGAGAACCTGAGTCCTCTTGAGCATTGTGCGCAGCAAAGTCAATGTTTTTCTCCCTGAACTTCTGAAGGAGCTCCTGGCTGAGTCCAGGGAGTTGGACCCGAACTCGTTGCACCCGATTCCCCAATTCTGGAGAAACAGCCTCAACAATAGCTATGGTTCCATTCTCAAATAAATCTACCTTTTTCACTCTGTCCTTGTCCAAGTACTCCAAGAACCTAGAATAAGACATCCTGGAGGAAGAAACCCCTTGGTCATCAGCATATGCATTTCCACCACCAAGTAAGGCAGGTACACCAAGTCCCGCATTTCCAAGTAACAACTTCAAAAAGCCTCTCCTTCCTTCACGGTGCCTTTCATCCAGAGATGCTGTTACATAATTTCTTTTTAATAACTTGCCCAATGACAGAAGGCTAGAGGAAGGAAAAAGGCGCCTGCCATAGATCTCTTTGCCCAAACTTGGTTTAGTACTGTGGGTAGATAAACCACTACCCACTAGGCATGCTGATGATGCTGCCATCTACAGTATTATCACCTGGAGCAAGGTGCTGGAAAGTGGACATGACAAATTAAGTGAAAGTGAATTAAAAATATACACATATGTATAAAGAACTTCGTTTAAAATTATTTCCAACAAAAGCTACTGCTATCCACTACAAATTTTTTGCATTCAATGATTGTGGAGAATAAATAATGAATAGAAATCACTTATAAAATGCAAAGTTTGAAGAGATAGGCAGAGTTGCAGAGTAGATGAGTAGATATTTACACAGCTTATAACATCCAAACCAATTGTTTTGTTTTTTTTTTTTTAATTTTTTTATTTCCATTGTCTTTTTCTTATTCTTCTTGTGGTGTGATGTCTGAAATATTCTTGTGCTATTATCATACAAAAGCAGCTCCGAAAAATAAAATATCTTTAATAGTGATAGTATTAAATGATATTTTAGATAGGTTGCGACCTAGCACGATGCTAAGTACTAACCCCCTCTAACATTATGGCGCTAGTTCAAATCACGGGAATCATCCTCACTATAAAAAAATGGGTTAAGGTTACCTACTCACTCACTCCCCCAAACCATGTTGTAAGTGGGATCCTTGTGAAATGAATGTCTTTTTACATCAAATGATATTTTAGGCAAATACCATTGTGCCATTAAATATGGAACTAAATTGAAAGTTTATTTCTACCAATATTTTATATATCTATTTTATTAATCAAGTGAGATTTCAAAATTTTAAAGGAGATGAGTGTAAAAAGACCCTGAGATAAGGTCTTGCAAGCAGACAATATCCCTAGATAATTCAAACATCTTAACAATTTCAACAGTAATGGAATTTCATCCTCAATTGTTTTTTAGTACAGAGAGTTGGCATCATCAGAAAAGTCTTGACCTTATCACGGTGCAATAAATAAAGGAAGTTTAATCCAAAAGGACTGCGAATCTCATTGCATCTTCCAGCAACAGAAAACCATTCCGATAACTTGAATAATAATCCAATCCGCTAATCATGTTTGACCTCCAATCATGTCTGACCTCCAATCATGTCTGACCATTGACTGAAGAGGAAAGTCTGGGAACAAATTACATTTCATAAAGCAGGAAAAACTTGCATCTTGAAGCTTCTACAAAGCCCCCTCTAAATTTACTCTTCAGCCTTTGATTAACATTTAATATTATCCTCTTTTTTTCTTGGGGGAGGGTGGAATAGGTGATTATTCTTTGAATTTTCCCTAAAAGCTTTCAATGTGATCTCATAACACCATTCTTGGACCTGCTTCTCGCACTTCACATAACATTCAGATCATACAACAAACATGCTAACCCTAAACAACAAATCTGACCTACATATGTATATATGTGTGTTTATGCAAATTCACTGCATTCGGTTCGAGACCCATAAACTACAGAGATAAAAATAACATTCCGCATCAAGAATTCAATGCTAGACGTCATTCTTAACCTCAAAAATTTCACAACCACAAGCACAAAACACATGGCACAAGCTATTCTGTAGCTGAGCTAACCAGAGCAACAACATCTACATCTTCTAGGGTTTTATTTTTATTTTTTTATCATAAGAACAGTTCAAAACAAAATTCAACACATAACCCATCTCAAAAAATAGTATAATCATCACAAATACAAGACTGAAACTGAAAAAAAGAGACAACCCAACATCAAGTAAGTACTGAAAGTCATAAAATGAGACCCATCAAAATGGAACCTTATCAAAATAATGAAACAAAAAAGTAGATCAATTACCAGATAAAGAAGCAGATTATGAAGAAGTAGCAGCTTGAATCAGATGATTTGTTAACTGTGGGGGTGGGTAAGAGCAAGTATGAAATGGGTGGGGGTGTGAGTAGGGCAGAGGAAAACTGGGAGTGAAGGAGAGGAAAGGGGGGTTGTAACGTGATCTAGAGGGAATGGATGTGGCTTCACAAGCCTATACGTGTCTATTTCTTGATGGTTGATTGGTGTTCCTTTGATATTTTGCGAGGTTTTTGGCCTTTACTCCCAGACTCAAGATTTTAACTCGGTTACTTTTGAACGTGGATCATTTGGATGCGTAGAAGAAAGAATGGAAATGAAAATGTGATACGTCATAATCCGCATGTTTGGTTAGTGTTTTTTTTAAAAAAAAAATTTAGAAAATTTTATTTTCTTATTTTTCGTATTTTTTATTTTTACTAAATTTTTTTAATATTTTAAGTAATTTTTTTTTACTTTTTAAATATACCTAACATAAATATATCTAAAAAGTAAAAAATTTATGAAAAAAACCTTTTAAAAATTCACTAAATATCAAAAATATAAAAAAAAATCTGAGAATTCTGTATATATTTTGTATTTTTATGTATTTATTAATTTTTTAAAATATTTTTTTTCAAATTTTTTACTTTTTAGATACATCTAAGTAAGGTGCATCTAAAACAGTAAAAAAAATATTTAAAATTTTAAAAATATTCACTAAAAACAAAAAAACACAAAAATAAAAAAATTCAATTTTTAAAAAATTTAATTCAAAAAACTCAAACAAAACACACTGATTCTTATTTTTTTTATGGGCATTGATTTAGACCCCCTTAAAACACCCACCACCACAACCCCCTCACACACATGATGGTTGGGGATTGGGTGAGAAGAAGAAAAAAAAAAAAAAAATTGACCAATCAAAACTAAAGGGGGTCAAGTTCCTTTGATATTTTGCGAGGTTTTTGGCCTTTACTCCCAGACTCAAGATTTTAACTCGGTTACTTTTGAACGTGGATCATTTCGATGCGTAGAAGAAGAAAAATGGTTGGGAGCACTAATTAGTGCTCCTACTAATTAGGTGGCAGTGGGTCTTGTTATTAATGATGTGATGTTTTGGTTTTGGGATTGTATTTTTTTTTTTTTTTTTTAATGCATTAGTGCTATTAGTGGTGATATTTTTAGTGGGATGAATCATTGTTGGTAGAAGAAAGAATGAGAATGAAAATGTGATGCGTCATATTTTTTTGAGCAATGGTAGAGGGCTACAAAAACAGTGGTTCAAATGGCTCAAAACTGTCAAAACGACGTCGTTTTGGGATCAAAACCTGCCTTGAACCACTGTTTTTGTGGCCCTCAAACATTTTTCTATTTTTTTAGGACGAGGCTGTTCAAAAATTGAGGTTGGTTTTAAAATATGTTATTTTAATAATTTTTTAATTTGTTTATAAAAATATGTGTAAAAGAATAGGTAAATTACACTTTGTCTTTTTAAAGTTTTACTCATTTTTTATTTCAACAATGATTCATCCCACTAAAAATATCACCACTAATAGCACTAATGCATTAAAAAAGTAAAAAAAAATAAAAAAAATACAACTCCAAGATTAAAACATCACATCATTAATGGCGGGACCCACTGCCACCTAATTAGTGGGAGCACTAATTCGTGCTCCCAAGCATTTTTCTTTTTATTTTGGTTTTTTAAGTTGAATTTTTTTTTTATTTTGGCCTTTTATATTTACAATTATTTTCACTTTGACTTTTTAAGTTTAATTTTTTTCATTTTGACCCTTCATATTTACAAACCATCTTATTTTAGCCCTTCATATTTGTAATCATTTCCACTTTATTCCTAAACTAACTTCCATCTAAAAAACTAACCGAATCTACTACATCACTAACACGTTAGTTTCATGTGTGATATAAAAAATTCACTAAAGATGCAATAAATAAAAAATAGAAAACAAAAAAATTGGAATTTTTTTTTAGTCTTAAGTGAACTTTTTTTTTCAAATTTATTCATAAACATTATTACATTATAGATGCATTTAGATTAGATGCAGCTAAAAAAATAAAAACAAATTTAACTAAAAAAATAAAAAGTTCACTGAAGACGAAAAAAATGAAAATATACTGACTCAAATACCTGTATTGTCGATTCTGAAATGAAAATTTTACTATCATTTTTTTCGTCTTTAGTGAACTTCTTTCTTTTTTTAGTTAAATTTGTTTTTATTTTTTTAGCTGCATCTAATCTAGATGCATCTATAATGTAATAATGTTTATGAATATATTTGAAGAAAAAATTGTTCACTAAAGACTAAAAAAAAATTCCTCGAGCTCTCCAAACATATTTCTACCCCCACTTTTGAGTGTCTTGTTTGTTTACAGTTTTCAAAAGTTAATTCCACACCCACTTTTGAAAATTCTTTTCAAGGCGGAAAAATTTGGGCTAACTGGTCGTCCTCTCGGACATCCGATCGGTTGACCGGAACAGTGCTATTTTTTTTTTTTAACAATTGGCACCTGTTATTTTTTATATTTTAAATAATAAAAAAATTTATGAACTTTGAATAAAATTTTGAGTTGTGTGTTTGGTTATCAGTTGTAAGTTTTCATATCAAATATCATGTGTCACATCAAAAATTCTCCACTCAATTCAAAACTCATTTACCAAACAAATTTTTCATACTCAAATCATTATTCCAAAACTCACAAACTCAAAATACAACTCTATTCTCAAATCATATTTAAAAAATTCTACCAAACACTACCTTATTTTTTTTGTTTTTATTTTTTATTTTTTGCATCTTTAGTGAATTTTTTTACATCACATATAAAGCCGATGTGTTGGTGATGTGACAAATTCTGTTACTTTTTTTTATGGAAGTTAGTCTGGGAGTAAAGTGGGAAGGATTGCATACATGAAAAGCCAAAATGGGAGGATTGCAAACATGAAGGACCAAAGTGGGAACGCTTGTAAACATAAAAGGCCAAAGTGGAAAAAATCAAACTTAAAGGGCTAAAGTGAGAAATAGATGAAACTTTAGGGGGACAAAGTTTTATTTACTCGTAAAAGAATAGAAAGAGTGATGTAATAATTTATAGTGATCTTATAACTAAAATGTTTAGTTTCCAAACAATGTCTGAATTGGAGGATTCAATTTAGAGTTACTTTGAGTCAATTTCGATTTTTCTTCGGTGATTCAAATCGCTCAAAATGTAGTACAATTTTAATAAATCATTAATATAAAAAATTAAGTTATTCAAATATCGATAATTACATATTTTAATAATAATATGGAATGGATAATAGATCGTTTATTTTTTTAGGATAAATTACAAATATACCCCTTGAGATTTGTTTAAAATACGAATTGTCCCTGTTGTTTGAAAAATTACAAATACCTCTCTGTTAGAATTTTTTATTTAACAAAATTAATTGAAAAGGTAAAATTTCTAACTGTTCATCTATACAATAATAAAATTATCTAAATTATTAATTGAAATAAAATTTTAACATTATTAAAAACTATTAATTAACATGATGATTTATTAATGAAAGGGTCTATTTGTTATAAAATTAAAAACCTTAGGGACATAATATAATTTCTAAAATCACAAGAGATAATTTGTAATTTAAATAAATCTCAAAAATGTGTTTATAATTTATCCTTTTTTTAAAATAAATATGATACAAACGTGTGATTATCACTATCTAATTAACCTAATTTTTTTGCACAAATAACCTATTAAGGAAATACAAACTTTGAACTATTTAAATCACAAAAGAGGAGTCAGAATATGTTTGAAAGTCCAAAATTGTACCCTCCAGTCCATAATTAAATTGACTGGAGACGAGCGGCCTCCATTTTTTAGATATGATATAGTAGGTAACATATGGTATAATTTAAAAAAATTTAATCGGATTGAAGAATTATCTAAATTCAATTTTAAATGTGTTAGGAATTTCTCACGCCTGACCTCCATTTAAACATGTTTGTCTAAGCTCAACCCATTTACAATAAATGAATTTGCATTACGTTTGAATTACTCTCGATTTTTAGATATTAGCTTTTTCTTTTGTGACGATTAAGCTAATTAATTTGTTAAACTTATTCATTTTTTATAAAATCATTAATAACATTAAAATAAATAATTTTTAAATGAGGGAGAGAGAAAAAGAGAGTGAAGATTATTGAAAAATCACACGTTTGTTATAGTGGTATTTGTCACTTTTGAGTGATAAAAAAATGATTCAAATGTATATAATATATACAGTAAATATGATTCAAATGTCCATGTTATTTTAACATCATGGAATGATTTAGTGAACTTCTTTCTTTTTTTAGTTAAATTTGTTTTTATTTTTTTAGCTGC